AGCTTTGTAAAACTGCTACATAGCCAGATGCTTACCAAATCAGTTATTTTGCATAGCATTCACATGTCTTAATACAATACTCTGTTTTAACTTACAGTGGGGTCAATTGCTTCAGATTTTATACCTTATTTCAACTGCTGATCTTGCAAAGCAAGACACCTAACATTACAAGAGAACAAGACCAGGCAGGAGAAACAGGTGGGCCATAGAAGAGGACTGCTTAAACAGCTCTCTACAGTGTAGGTGAAAAAGGATAACTATAACACAAGCACATTAACCTGTTATATAAACAGGGTATGCTTTTATAATGGGCCTTGAACAACAGTTCTCACAGTAGGCAGAGCATCTGTTGCTCTGTGTGCTGGACTGAAGCAATAGTGGTGCTCACCTTGTTTGAAACACTGTTTAACATTGTTTTAAGCACCACTGAAAAAATATTAGACTGGTATGCCCAGAATCAAGCACTGCAACAACTAGCCACCAACTACAGCAGGAGTGCTACAGCCACAGGTTCCACTTCAGCTAATATAACGCAGAAAAACCAGATGAGAGGACTCTAAATGCTTACAAAATACCTTCAAAAAACTTTCTGGTTGAAAAGCTATCCTTGCTCTGGCAACAGTACAAAGCAGTCAGAATACAGGAAATGCCTAACTGCACTCCTTTGTATCAGAATTCTACGTATGCCATAGTCATTAAAAATACTTTGACAAATCTTTACTGCCTTCTACCAGCCTACCTCTACCGTTTGTTCATACGTCCAATCAAATTTCTTCTTTACTTTCTTTTCAAGGAAACTGGTCGACTCTGTCTGTTTAACTCCTGCAGCTGTGGCCTTGAATCCACAATAGTAACCTGCGGGATCACACTTGTACACCTGAGGGCCGTGCTCTTCATCAATACCAATCAAAATCATACCTTGAAGAGAAAGTTTGCTCGTTATTATTTCTTTTTCCAATATTAGCAATTTTACTGAACCAAAGAACAGTTTGATACTCCTCTCCTAAGAAACACATGCATGCAAAGCAGTAGATCCTCACACATAAGTTCAATATCTAGACCTGAGTGTTCTTTTTTATCTCTCATTTGCCTTTTCTTACCAGTGACTCACACCAGGCATGCAACTCACTTTTGTGCAAACTAGATTTGTGTCATACCCAAAGAAAGCTATTCATTAAACATAGAAATGTTCTGGCCAGCCTCACTGTGTAAAGAACAACAAAGTCAGGAAATAAAGAAGTTTAATCCTGATACAAGTTCACATCCTGTGTATCATATACCAATGAGACTTTGAAAACATAAAAATCATTCAATAAAGATGCTTTTAACCAGAAAGCAACTTTACAAACACATTGACATTATTTGAAATATTAAAAGATCACTTTTAGATTTTTAAACAGTGAGGAGAAAAAAAAAAGGAAATATCAGAAGACAAAACAGAATCTTTGAAGGCCATTTGACTAAGTGTTTTCCATTTGCAATTTCAAGTGGTATAAACTGGTTAAATCCCTGCAGTGCATCTGTGTCCACCTACACTTCCAGATCTACAGTTTTGAAGTTTCAGCATACACATTAAAAATAACTCAAAATAACAACAACAAAAAGAAACCATCTTCTACTGCTTTTAGCTTTACACGTGTGTAACTTTTAAATAGTAGTTGCAGCTATATCAGCTTCTGAACAACTAGTACTGCAGATGAAAAATAAAGCCCTACCAACTTCTAAAAAAAAAAAAAAAAAAAAAAAAAAAAAAAGTATTTCTTAATTTTGACATTTTTCTTCTTGCGCAGAAAAAAGTTCATTTTCTATCAGTATCAAAGTATGGGAAGTGCCAAGCAAAGAAATGATTGTTCCAAACATTACAAGTATATAAGCATGGGAAAATTTCCCCATCATAGAAACTGGTGCAACCCTGAATGCTGCTTTAGTAAGAAGTTCTAGTGCCTACACTTCTGCCTTACCAGAAGTGATTCATCAGTTCCAAAAATATTCTCTTTAAAATAAAAATTAAAAACAACAACAGAAAAAAACTTAGACAGAATGTTGAATGAAACAGCAAATGAGGAAACATGAAGTCTTTTACCTCAGTTCCCAGACAATCTACCAATATGGCTACACTTTGCTCATGGCCAAGTGTAAGAGAACAAAAAAAAAAAAAAAAAAAAAAAAAAGGAAGTAAAAACCAACCTCAAAGTACAAGGATTACTAACTGTGGTAGAAATACACACACATATATATATATTTTTTCTCATTTAAACATAAGTTACATTTGCTATTATGAAGAAGTATCTGTGCAGAAACGTAGACAAGTGAAATTAAATACATCTTCCGTACAATACACAGAAAAAGATTAAGTTAAAAGCACCAGTTAAGCTTCTTTTTAGCCTATACACATTACTTAGATACGAAACAGTTGAAGTGTGCACAATATGCATTCTCCACATATCCGTGATGTTTATGCAGACCACATATGCTAGAAAGAAGAGCATCTTCCATTAACAGCCATCACCCAGCAAGCAGACTGGGACCATAAAGCTAAAATAAAATAGCAACATGTTTTAAAAGCACTTAAATAATTCTCTTAAGTTTAAAAGCTAAGACAATGGTAGAATCGTGCTTTCAATTCAAGACTTCCAAGATTATTCTCATCTGGTTGTTCATCCCTCTCAGTTCTTTGGTGACATTCATGCAATTTTTCACAATTAGAAAACAGGTAAGAATCTCGTAAGTTACACTTGTTGCACGATTAAAGCAGAAACAGCACAGATTCCATACACTGTACTTACAGCAACCAAGAGGCCTCATTTCAGCATTTTGCGTATAGACCTGAGAAATATCCGCAATCCTTTTACATAGCATATCCACAGGGATGTCGTAGCCATACTTGTACTTCCAGTTAGCAGCCTCATAGCGGGCCCTCTGCACCTGGGATCTGCTGTCAGCTAGAGAGAAAGAGTTAATATTAATTGCACTGACTGTGTACCACATTTATTCCCAGCATTTGAGAAAGCCACACCCAACTCAGTTAAAATACACACACATGAGAACTAGACAATTTTTCTAAAACTAGACTGAGAGAAACAAACTTCCTTGAGTGAATAATTAATTTTATGCAATACACAGTTGGTAAATTAAATAGAAATACTGACACTTCAGATAGTTAAAAAGATGGTGAATTAAATACCTGTCATTCCTGTCATCACACAGCCAATATTTTCAGTAATGCTGAACAAATGAGTTACTGTGTTGGAATCCAGTAACTTGTCCTAAAGAAGAAATAGAAATACAAATCACAGAATATCCTGAGTTGGAAGGTCCCACAAGGATCACCAAGTCCAACCACCTAGCTCCACACAGGACAACCTAAAATCCAAACCCTATGCCTGAGAGCATTGTCCAAACGCTCCTTGAACTCCAGCAGGTTGAGGCCATGCCCAGTGCTCTGGGGAGCCTGCTTGATGCCCATCATCCTCTGGTGAAGAACCTTTCCCTAACCCCCAACACAACCCTCCCCTGATGCAGCTCTACGCCATTCCCTCAGGTACTGTTGCTGTTGCCATTACTAGAGAGCAAAGATCCTCACCATCTCTCTGCTCCCTGTGAGGAGCTGCAAACCACCACAAGGCCTCCCCTCAGAGTTCTCTGTTCTGGGCTGAACAAACCAAGGGACCTCAGCTGCTCCTCATACACCTTGCCTTCCAGACCCTTCACCATCTTTGCAGCTCTCCTTCAGATGCTCAATATCTAGAAAAGGCTGTCAACTAAAGCATGACCAATACTGAAGTCCTTTTCTATCTCAGTAAATTTTGAAAACAAAACAATAAGACTTGAGTTCCTAGTCCACGTTGTCTTCAAACACAAGAGTCTTCTTTATCCCTTTGTCAACAGTACAACACCACTGTGCTAAAACGCTCATGAAAACATTATTATGCTACTGGCATACTGGTTTTTCAGTAGGAATTAAAGAAGAGAAATTAGCAAACTGACTTTGGTAACTCAGCCCTTACAATTCAGAACAATGTATGCATGTCAAAGTACACCAGACCCTAATATTTTTTTTTTTCCTTCAGCAGCTCTAGAGAAAAAACATTATTGAAGTACTCGGTGATAAAACATACAGCTGAGCACTAAACAAAGCTATAATTCAGTATAATCAGAACAACAAGCTATCAAACAGCTATATACGTCAGTGATAATAAACACAATCATAATGGTGTGGCACTACACCCTCTGCTTATTTTATTTCTCACTTCCTCCCAGCCCTCTTTCAAAAATAGACTACTTACAGGTACTTTCTTCTGCGTTACAATTACTGCAGAGTCTTTCCCACGAACAGCTACAGACGTAAGTCCACCCTGGTTTATGGCCTTAAAAGCATACTCTAGAAAAATATACAAAAGATATTAAAAACTCTATTAGATACGTTACTATTAGCAACTCTGTCGCATCTACAGCCCTTGAAATCTCACCACGTTCTATTAGTGCTTCGTTCAGGTATTTCTAATAATTTGCCTTTTTCTTCTACGACAATATCTAACAATTTGTTTTAAATTAAAATGGCAATTCTGCACTTGACCGAAACATTAATCCAACACAACTGTAAATCTTACACATCATTTTCAATATGTGGAGCTTTCAAGTATTACTACCATTGCAAGGATGTGATTTCTTCTGTCCGTTTCAGTCAATACAGACAAAAACTGAAATAACATGCAAGGAAGAGAAATTTTAATCTTATCACATCTTCTGACTTGATATTCAAATACTACAGAGTTTTAATTTACTTTATAAAACAAAATCTGTGTACACACCTACTAAAAAGCATTATTCAGACAAATGATTGAAGTTTCCTTCATGTAATCTAAGAAATACATTTCCCTTTATTAACAATTTCAAAAGCCACAAAGGTCTTTAAAAAAAAAATCTTTATCTGGTAATATATGATAAGTACACAGAATTTCCTAATATCTAGTCAAGAGATGAAAGTTTCAGGCACTAACTTGATGCAGATTTTTTTTTTTAATTAGTTATGTGAATGAGGCTGGAATTCAGAACAATCCACTAAAACTATATTCTAAAACAATATGAGAAGGAAGGTAAGCTGTTTTAAAAGCTGCAAAATCTGTGGCAAACTGGAACATCAGATCTTTCTTCTAAACATCATGCAGTGCTTCACAACTGTGCAGCTGGCTGAGCACTGACACAGGCTGCCAGTGGCTGTGGAGTCTCCTTGGAGATCTTCAGAAGCAGCCTGGACATGGCCCTGGACATCCTGCTCTGGGTGTCCCTGCTTGAGCAGGGGTTGGAGAAGATGGACCCAGAGGTCTCGGACAGTCTCAACCAGTCTGTAAATCTGACACGTAGGTGTGAGAATGAATAAGCGCCTTCAGAAACTTTTGCTCACAAATACTGAGAACCAGGCAGAGTGCTGGCATTTCAGTCTGGTATCAGTATACTGGAAATCTGTTCTGGAAAAAAAAATCAAGTTTTAAGGCAGCCTTAGAGCAACAAGTGTGCCTACACCTATCCTCAACAGCACCTGATTAACTGGAATCTAGCACACATACCAAGATCCACACAATTCAGAAAAAAAAGAAAAAGGCTGGAATCATATAGTTGACCACAAGCAAACATATCTTCTACCCATACTGTGTCTAGATACTAGCCAGGAGAGACATTTGTGTGGGATCATTCCCAACTTATTAACCTGGCTGCTGGCAGAACGATCTCATACTTACTTGAGGTTAACTTGCACATCTAAGTACTTATCTCCCCATCCTTCCCTAGCAGACAGGTACTCAAAGTACCTTTAATACAACTTCAAACTACATGTAAATACTCTCAAACACACATACAGATACTCCTCAGACCTGGACAAAAGATACGCAAGTGCCATACATTCCTCATATATTAACTTAACTGATGAACATATCCAGGAGGCAGAAACCCTCAATTTACTCTTTGCTACAGGATGCAGAAACTATGGCCAGCAGGTAGTAGTGCAGCAAAGAGAGCCAGAAAGGTGTTCCAGACCAACTGGCATGCTTTAATAGCAACTGAAGACTGTATCCTGTGACTCTTACATTACACAGCCACCAACAACCAATGCAAAAAAGCGTTGCTCTCACTAACCACATATATAAGGATTGCTGTGCAAGTTGCATACAAACTCTACATGCACTATAGGTATTAATAAAGCACACGTATGTGCGTGTAGCTAGTACAGGTAACTTTCTACCTACATAAAGACATTCAAAAACACGCAATTTCATAGTTGCACCTTGCGAAAAGGGCTCTCCAGGACTGCACAGCCTACCCAGGTAAGCCTATTCCACACAGCAGGTCAGACACAAAAGAAACTGGCTACTACTGACAACTTGTGCAGACTGATCTCAGCAACTTCCTTTCCTGGAGAACAGATGAATGTACAGATGTGCTATGTAATGCACACAGTCAGGCTGCTGCAGCTGGGAAAGAGCCACTGGGATCTAGGGAGAGAGCATCAGGATGGTTCTGCAAGAACAAGCAACTCATCTGGTCCAGTACTGAAGATCCTTTAGGCACGCTGTGGATAAACTGCCTTTGCACTACTAAAAACTGGCTACATTGTTACAGAGGACCCTAAAAAGAGCACTAGGAGGCACTTCTGCAGAACCTGGTGCACTGGAAAAAGAAAAATAGATTCAGTTACCTAAAGAAGAAAAATAATTTTGGCTGCAGCTTAATCTCAGAAGGTTTGCAGACGCTGGAAATAAAGGCTGGTTGCTATTATCTCACAGGCCATGCTGCACAGGACACACACACCGTATTCAGGTGTAACAATGGGGAGCATGGATTACTGCCAAGCTCTGACTCTGATGTTCCGGTACTGTTTGGGACAGCCCAAGTCCCATTCCAAACCGCTATCGTACCTCTCAGATCCCACAGCACAACGCTGGTAACAAGATTAACTGGAAGAAACACTTATGGGGAACAAACGGCTGTCCGGGCAGCCCTGAAGTCCCCGGAGTGGCACGGAGGCACAGGACACACCACAAGGCTCTAAACCGCCCCTCACCGCCAGCGAAGCCGCCCTCTCAGCCTCCACGCACGACCTGGCTGGCTGCCCCAGCGCCTCTCTTCTCGCCGCGGTACCAGCTAGGGTAGAACCGAGCCCCCGTGCCCGGCCAAGGGAAGCACCACGCTTCCCTCTCCTCCGAGTCAGCGGCCCGATACGGAGGCGCTCTCCCTCGCCGGCCGCAGCCCGGCACCGCGGGAAGGCCCGGCCCGTGACGGGGCAATTCAACGGCGACATCCCCGGGGCTCGGCACCCACCGACTTGGTAGAGGCGGCCCTCGGGCGAGAAGATGGTGATGTGGCGGTCGAAGCCGGCACTGGAACCTCGAGACATGGCGGCGGCGGGAGCGTCACGGCCGAGGGGCTGTCAGCGTGCACGACCCCACCGCTACCGCAACGGGCCGCCGCCGGAGCGCTTCCGGGTCACGGGCGGCGCGCAGGCGCCCAAGGCCTCCCAGCTCCCGCACCGTCACGCTCCATCCCCACCACTGCGCATGCCCGAACTGCGCGGCGCCCCTCGGCCTCGTGCCTCCCCTCCGGAGAGCGTGCGCAGTAGGGCGGTTGGATTCGGTCTTGGGGGGGCCGGGGGGCGTCGCGTCATGACTCGTCGCCTCCGCCGGACGATCCGGGAGCCGCCAAGACGCTGCCTGGCGGAAAGGGGGGGGGAGGCCGCGGTGCCGCGGGAACACCCGTGAAACAGAAAAACTCCGGTGTGAGCTACGCGGGCAGCCTGGGGAAAACCAGCCCCTTTGCTTTCCTAGCAAAGCGCTTCCACGCGTTGTCTCAGTGAGCGTAATTTTAAAGAAATACAGCAGCCTCAAAGAGGGCGGTTAGGGTACTAGTGAGGAGTCCCTGTTCCTACAGCTGCATTGCAGCGCGATGTTTGAAGGCTGCCTCAGTCGGCGTCGGTGCGGAATGAAATCTCCCTTTAAACTGACGAACACACATCTGCCCTTCAGCAGCCTGGATTTTCCCCGCTCAGTGGGGTGGGTCTTACTTTTTTTTCTTCTTTTTTTTAAGTCGGGCCATCGAAAGCTGTGAAAGCTGTTTGGATAACCACACCTTCATTTCAAATACTTCCTGGTAAAATAGCGGGTGACAGGTGCATTTTGGAGTGCATCGTTTGCCCCCCATGAGATCTGCTTTAATTTTTTCCTTACAGCTATCCTTTATTAATGGGACACTGAGTATTTATTACAAAATTGTCCCCTTCATTTTGGAACAGTGTTGTGGACAGATGAAAAACGTTTAAAATTTGTGGTGGGAAGTCTCCAGCCCAGGGCCCCATCACCAGCTGTGACCAAAAGCAGATGCCCAAGGAAAAGCATTAAGGCTACAGAGAGCCTTTAACGATGCATTCCCTGAATATTCTCCCAGCCTCCTGCTGTCTGCAGGGAGTTCCCAAAACAGTGATAGCATCTGGTTATTTAATAGCCCGGGCTGGGGTTCTCTTTCATGAACTTACTGGTTTCCCTTTGAGCTCCTGTGAACTGCCTACATCCACAACATGCAGTGGCAAAGGGCTGCTCAGCACAATGTACTGTGAAGTTTCATCTGAACACTCAGGATTCCTAAGACCTCTGTTTCTTTTAAGATCTCTTTTCCTCTGGGCCTTAGCTTCCTAACTCCTACCATACATGAAGCTATTTTATATTGCAACATAGGATTTAATAGCAGATGTTTTAGTTTTTTTCCCCACGAGAAAAAGGAGACAAGAAAAGCAGAAGGAATGCTCAAACATTTCATCAGATTTCCAAAAAGCAACCAAGCAAGAAAATCCTTGACTTTTAAGTGTTTGGATTCAAAGATCCAATATTTTTCTTAGATCAGGACTGAGATTGAACAGTTGCTCAATACCATCAACATGGCAGAGCAGAAGTCATACCACTTCGATGATACAGCTTCTGGAAGTTTTGTCCATCTATGTAGCAATTTCATCAAATTCCAAAGTATGGTTTTGTTTCACATGAGTAATCAAATATTTTCCATGTAACATCCATCATCTCTTACCAGCCATATGAGAATCGAAGTGCGTGCTGAAAGCTTCTGAGAAAGATGTTCTCACATATTTTTTAACATTATAAACAGTAAGTGGATGATCTTGGAGATGAAATTGTTCCACAATAGCTACAACACAGGCTCAATCAGTCCATTCTTCCTCCAGTCTACCTTTCCAATGTGTCTCCGTAACCAGGGCTTGCCAAAAGCCAAGCTGAGCATTCGTTCTATCTCATTCCCCTTCCCCTCACTCCGTGGACTATCAAAGGGCACCTGTGCCATTTGCAGTGGTTGCAGGCATACCAACTTCTATTGCATTTGGAGGACTTGCCAGAATTGGCCTTTCTGGATTTAAACACAAGCCCATCAATCTGATAAAGTAACACAAGGAAAACATTAAAATTCTTGTGGTTTTTTGTTTTGTTTTGTTTTACAGTACTATTGCACTAAAAGGTATCAAGTGTCAAGTAGATCTCGACTTGCTCTTTTGTTGTTGCCTATAAGAATTTCTAGTTACTGCCAATTTTTGTTTAGAAAATTCAAGCATTTCCATAAGAAAACTAGTCCAGTGGCATGAAATCTTGTCAGAAGTAGCAAATCTAAGACTGTGAAAGAACAATACAGTATTTCACCAGCTGTTTTTACAGACAAAATCTTAAAGTATGTTGTGACAATAAATCTTTTGCATTGAATGTAGTCAAATGAATTCCAATTAAAGTGAGGAAGTATTAGAGCTACATGTGCCAGACCAATGGCAATCATGCCATCTGCCTCAGTAAGCTCTATTTGCTAGGTTCTATTAAACACTGCGACAAGATCAGCATGCCAATTTTGAAGGTACTCTGAAAGCCTTGCCTAATTTTTCTGAAGAACAGAGTTCATGAATTTCAGTGTAGATGAAAAGCTTCAGCAAACAAACAAACAAACAAAAAAGATTAAAAAAAATTTAAAACAATAAACACATCACCTGAAATTCCAGAGGGAAAAACAAGTTTTAATTCAAATCACGTAGAGAAGGTACAGAAATTGCTTGTTAAGATGGAAATAACAGACCTAATTCATCCTTACTGGACTAGAGTTTGTGTCCACAGGTTTATAACAAGAATGAGTTTGACAAAAAGCAGTTACTGAATTTTCTTTAGTTATAGGCCTCATACATTAATCCCATAATTGTACTGCTAATTTGCAGCAGCAGCTGCCTAGCAAAACAAAAACAAAAACAAAAAAACATCATAGAAGAAGCTTCCGCTTGTGCAATTATGTTGTTCTGTATTTCTGCTGAAGGCAAAGCCATTTTCTTGGTATTTCATATGAATATTTTTCCTCAAAAGTGTCTTTATAGGGGATATGCCATGTGTCACCAGTTGTCTGTACCACACAGTCATAACTGCAAGCAGGCTGTGGGATAAAAAAAAAATAAAAACAATTGTTTAGACTTTATCTAATACATTAGCAAAACGCTGATTATAGCTAGCTATTTTCCTTAGAAATCTGCACAGACACAGTTATTTAGCAACTCTCAATTATTTGCTCACAAATTATAAGATTTAGCACTGGAGGAAAGGTTAAAATCTCTTACTATTTTGAGGTCTAGGTGGCGTTATAAATGATTAAAATTCTGTCTTTAATCTCCACCAGGTAATAATGATTTGGGCGCAACACATTACATTTTCAGAAACACAAAACTGTTTTTTTCTGTTCAGTTAAATGAAATCATATGGGAATTAGTTCAGGATGCAGTGTTTGGCAGCTTGAACACATAGGGCACATTAAAGACATCCTGTGTTTGTCCCTCCAGTGTACCTACACAAACTGATTTGTACCAAGGATGTTTTAAGAAAAGGAGTTCTCAATAACACTTACAAGAACAGCCAGTCAGACAAATATAATTCTGGTCTACTGTGTTACAGGTATATTAACTCAACATGTGCAATACAAATATAAAAAATCACTGGTTTGCAATTATTCTCAGAACATATTGTCACTCTGTATTTATACACTTGGAAGTCTATGATTGGGAATGTCCAACATCCAAAATCATTCATATGTGAACTAAGATTTGAAAATTACTAGCCCTGCTACAACCAAATAAGTACAGCTAAAGCTGTGTTACTCAAGTAACACTACATCCAATATTCGTTTCCATTAATAGGACTGTATATAGCATTCATCTCTCTGTATATAGCTGTCATCTTTATAAATCTGTGTCTCTGCAGTTAGACTGCAGTGAAGAACATTCGTTTACAATTTTAACTAGAGCAGCAAGAAAATGAATCTAAATAAGTGCAGTATTGCTTTAATTCAGCAGTAACACTGGAGGTAAACCGGCCACCGAGAAACCACATGATATGCAATGTCACATGATTAATTTTTCCCCAGAAAAATCTGTTCAAGACTCACAAGGACTTCTGTCTCCTGTGCGTGTGCACACACACACACACACACACACACACACACACACACACACAAAAACAAAAAGTACAGTATGAGATTGTGCTAGGAAGTCTGTGATTTCAGTAGCTGGATACCAACTACAGCTCTGACTACTCTGGGATCTCCTTCATGAAACCTTAGAGTTATGCTTGGATAACATTACAGTGAATACTGAAATGCAGGTATTTTCTTATGGCTTCTCCTTTAACGTAAATATGAGAGAAATTCTATTACACAATTAGAAGCATAATAGTGCTACTGAGAATTCTATAGCTCAAAATTTAAATTAAGTGAAAAAATACTAGCACTTACATTTTACAGCAGCAAACAGACTATTATACACAAAAATATAACATTTACATTATAAACATTTAAGGTGACAATTTCTTACTTCTTGACAGCTTTCATGTTTATGCCGTGCTTTGTGAATATAATCTTCAGTAAAAATGGAAGTTTTGAGCCCACTGGTACAAATCTGCTTCTTATGCTCCAACAAAAAACTTTTTGCTTACTGAGTTAGAAACTCCAGTTAATTAATATCCTTTGTGTACTTTCTGAACGCAGCAGAAAACTTACCAAAAATTTTATGTGTTTTCCTCCTGCAGAAGAGGAAAACACTATTTGGTGTCCACGCTGCCACTTACGGAACAGATGACGAGTAACGCTGTCAGAAAGACAAGCTTTGTGATCCCGGAGGAAGTCTCTTGTAACAAATTTGCAATGTTTGCCTGACCGGAGAGTGGCATATAACAAGAAGGCATCATCTTCAGAACTTAACAAAACAAATGGAAAAGACAGAGATCACTCACAAGGTCGTAACTGGCTGCAGAAAATGAATCAAGTGCTGATCTGGGATTCATTCATCAGCAACACAAAATTCCCGTCGCTATTTTAGTTCTGTGTTAAAATAATTTCTGCTTACCATAAGGCATCAAAAGAAAGAGAGTACAATAAAAATACACACTACACAACATTCTTCCCTTTTGTTACCATCTGCTAATGTAACAACATAATCTTTTGTTACAAAACTTAACAATACAGCACTGTGTGGAACAGAACTGCTAAAACCAGAAAGGGCAGCCTCAAAACTTTGCAGAAATATAAACAATCACCACTGATAACAAAGCATAATACAGGCAATGGCTTAAATCTGTGAGTCCCTGTAACATGGATAAATATAATTCCAAAAAAGGCCTGGTGATTATTTGCAAAAGGTATTCAACATTAGCCACTATTAAACAAAAATAGCTTTAGGGGAAAATCTCTAAAACTGAATTTATAGTTACCCTATAGCTGAAGATGCTGAGAACTTTGCTTGAAATTCCTTTTTGACTGCTGTGGATTACTGTAACAGTAAGTGTCAGAACACGAGATTAGTAAGGCTCTCTATCCAGGGTGACAGTGTCCCCTTTGCTGGTGCTCAGACAGTAGAAAGGAAAGCAACTGACTCGACAGCAAAAATAATGAGAGCAAGAATTAGAAGGGTGATGAAAGAGAACCGATCTGAAAGAAGGAGCAAGACAGAAGAGTGTCGGATTGGCTGTTGGGACATGGAACCTGGTCAGAAGGTCTGGGAACTGGGATCACAGAAGAAGCAGCAGAGACAGGTGAACAATTTCATGTGATGTAACTCTTAATAATGCATCATTTAATGTGTAGTTTTTTAAAGCAAATATAGCAAGGAGTATGTTTCTTTTTCACACATGCAAACTAGAGATACTAGTAATAGCACTAAAACCTATAGTTATTAATACTAATTAAAAACACACATAAATCAGGTATTGATTGCCATGAAATTTAGGTATTTTCTTCAACTTACATATTTTCAGCAAAGAAAAAGTCTGCCTTATTCTGCATTTCCTTCATAACCTCTCTTTTCCAATTGGAAGAGTTGGTCAGCATGTGTTTGCGGCCCAGCACAAGTAAACGGGCATAGTCCTTTGCCAGGCAGTTGACAGCCTCAAATAGCTGCAGAAAAACAAAGCAAAACAAAAAGATTTCCTTAGCTGTAAGCAAACAGAATGGCACAAAACACTTTCACATCCCCAGTGGGACTTGTGACACACCCTCATTTCCCACAGCTCTTACCTGCAGCACAAATTAAGTAGATAACTAATTTGATTCTTCAATAAAAAAGTAAAATAAATAAATAAATTAAAATTCCTCACAGGAAGCTGTTCTCAAAACACAGAAAATGCGCTGCTTCTATAAAGCTTTCCCAGCTCTTGCAACTTTGCATTGAGCTACCTTAGGGACCTAGATCACTTTGGAATTTAAATAATGTCTAGCCTTGGAAAAGATATACAGAGAAGTCCTAGCTGGTACTGGAGAGAAGGACCACCTAAGCCACACTGCTTTTCCAGCTCCACCTGTTGTCCAAATCACAGAACTACATTTGATCTGTACTGCCCTGTGAGGAAGTAGCAAGCTACAGCAAAAGGAAATTCATGACCTCAGGATGAAGGGTTTATGAAAGCCACATCCAGATTAGCCTCCCACTTATGAACCAACGTCCTGAGGTGGCAAATTCACTGCTGTATCAGCTTCTCTTCAAAGGGACTTTTTGCCAGGCTCCCAGAGCCATAAACGTTGCACAGTGCAGGCATTTCTGCCCAGCTCCCTCTTCCAGCTGTTCTTCAGCATGTTTCCAGCTCCTGTCCTCCCTCCTCCTGCTCTCAGCTGGCAAAGGTTCTGATATTCAACCTACACATGGGTACACATGGGCAGGAGTTGGTAGGTGTCACAAAGCACTGCCACCTGAATTCTGCCCAGAAAAAGAGAACTGTTTCTTCAGACCGAAGGCTGACGACTGTATGCTCAACCTCCAGGGAAAGGTGCTCCCTAATTTGCAACTGTTTGCTGCCACTGTTTGTAGATACAGTCTCCTGATTTTTCTCCAATCCCTTTTCCTACTTTGCTAGCTACTTCCCTCTTCCCCTTTTTCTCTTCCCCCACTATTCTTCCAACTGCCTTTCTCTTTTTTCCTGTTTTTTCACTCTTTCCCTCCCTTTAACTTCCCTAAATTAACTGGACTCACCATTAAAAAAAAATGGCCCAACAGCGTGCCATCCTTCCTCTAATTGCCACAAAGACCATGCTTGACTTACACAAATGAAAGGCAGAACGCAGGTATTATTTTTAATTTCACAAGGTACAGATAATTTTGTTCTGCACACTGCCTTGCATGACGTGACTTTACTAGAGAGCACTGTGTCTCCTTTGAGGCTAGAGCACTAGCAGAGGTGGCCTGCAAAGTCACGCTGCCCAGGTGGGGGTTTCCTGAGTGTGGCTACTCCCACCCACAGCTGCTTCTTGAGAAAGGAACACATGAGACATAGTAACACTTGCTTTAGTCAGAGAGGAAAATGAACATGATACTGTTAACAGAGCATCAGCAGTGATACCTCACTTAACAAGGAATATTTTGTTAATCTCCTGTTCCCAAGAGTTATCTAAAAGTTACTGTTATGTACCACTACAAAGTGCAAGCACCCTGTATGCAACAAGCTCTGCCCAGACGCACTCTTCTAACATTCCTACACTAGGTTTGCAGCAAATGTTGGCTGTTCAATAATCTGTTCAGAAGGCAGTGGGTGGAAAACATTAAAAAATATACGGCACGCACATTCCTCATGTCACTCAAGAATTTCTTGAGAATGAGGATTACAAAATAAAAGAATGACCTTTTATACACATCTATTTATAATGAGTCGGTAAACCAGACTCTGAGGGAGCCAGGATGCAGCCACAAGTCAGACTGAAGCTACTACAGATCAATGCAGGAATGACGACCAGGTTCACAAATGTATGTTGATCCCCAATGTGGCTCCCTGAAGCACTTTGTTATTGCTTAATTTTTATAGGAAAAGCATAATTAAATTGATGCATGTTTACAGTGTGTGCATTCTAATTTTTATTTCTGCTCCCTAAGCTGTGAATCAGAGAAAAATCAGCACTCTGGCTGAGTATGTACATTCATCTTTCCTCAGGACAGTCCCAGAGATAAGTGCATGTAGCTACTTCCCCCCCAAGTGAGTTCTTTCTTGTTCCTGATGCAGTGTTATTTGAAAGAATTTGCCACCACCACCACATTCTTGCCCTTGCAGTAAAAAGCACCTTCGCTGCTAGCTGTGCTGGAACAATCATTAACAGTTTCCCATGGGAAGGGAATACTCCAGCACTAGTTCCTGGAAGGAGCTTTGCAGAGAATCATGTTCATGCAAAAATTGTGCACAATTTACCAAGGATCAAACCCAGGAGTTAAGCTGAGGAGCAGACAGTCTTTGTCACGCTGCAAGATTAATCCTTTTCCTTCAGTTGTAAAATAGTCTTATGAAGTAAATGAACAATTAAATCTCCTTTTTCACAGGTGCACAATGCAGCACTGGGAAGACAGGCTATGAGCTCATACAAGGGACTTTGAACAGGGCAGGATATAGATTTCCCAAGGCCTCACTGCCAGCCACCCCAATCTGATCACCCTATGCCACATGTCACATTTTCAAAGGTTAGCTTTCTGCACACAGCACTTTTCCTTAGACATTACTGGTGCTTTCCCATTTGTCAGATGGGAAACCCCTAAGAGCCATCACTCAGAGGCACAGCACTCAGCCTCTCAGCAAGAGCTGGCTCACCTGCACACAGCTACAGCAGGAAGAAGTAGCCAAACAAATAGCTTAAGTCCATTTGATGCTAATAAATTTATGTTAAACATTTTCTAAACATTGGGTGTTACTAACCATCATTTTAAAAGCAAAGCACGCCTGGTGCTGCTAATAACAGCAACAAACTGCTCTTACTGCTATTGCTGTTTTCCCCCGCTGGTAGTGCTGCCTCCCACCCACTCCTATAGCTGTGAATTACAGGGGAAACCACTGTGCTGATGCAGGTACCAGGCCTGAGCACGCTGCCAGCTGCGACTGAGCATAAGCATCCCCAGGGTTAAGCAAGGAACAAGTTTCCACCATTAATATATTCATTTGAATTACACTTTCATCATTTTTAGTTCCTTTTTTTACATAATACCGACAAAGAAACTCAAGAAACCTGTACACATAGCTGCTACACGTAATAGGAGGAAAGAGACTTTCCCCACAGCACCCCAGCTACGCAGGAAGGCACACAAGACAGGCTGGACTTTCCCACTGAGCCTGGTAATTTCACTGAATTCAGCACCAGCATCAAAGCAGCAAACACAATAGAAGCTTCTTATATTCCTTACGTTATTACTGAGAAAGTCTGTTTTCTGAGGCATCCTGAGGATGCTTCTGCAGCCAAGTCTGACCTGTATACCAAGACACTTGGTGTTTCATCACAGTCAGAACTGATACTAATTGCAAGACTTGCCCAAGTCCAGCACTGCATAAATACAAACATGCCTTCACCCAGGTAGAAACTAACTACAAGGACACTCTATGCACATCATCCAAGCTAATGTGTCTTCTTGATTTCTAAATGCAAACAAGAGTTTCAAAGACCAGCCTCAAACAGATTAAGCTTAGGCACAGAAGCAATGGCATAATTTATGTTTCCCTGCATTCATGCTACCCTGGGTATTTTGCCAGTAACGGAGATACCTTTAATTACTACTCTGTTTGATTAAAGTGAAGGAGGTGGAACTTCCTCAAAACAATGTCTGAAACAGTCTGGAATGCAGAAGCAGTACGTTTGTAATTAGACACTGGCATTCCATTCTGCTTTATTATAGACTATAAGTAAATTTCCTATTTCAAACAAGTTTGAAGAGCCACCTCAACAAAATAAACCTCTTTATATTGCCTTTATGTTTGGGAAACTGATCCAAATTTCTCCTATGCCATAGATCCCTACAATTTCCAGCAAAGAGGCATGCAAAAGAAAAAAAAGAAAAAGAAAAAGGAAAAAGGAAAAAGGAAAAAGGAAAAAGGAAAAAGGAAAAAGGAAAAAGGAAAAAGGAAAAAGGAAAAAGGAAAAAGGAAAAAGGAAAAAGGAAAAAAGAAAAAAGAAAAAAGAAAAAAGAAAGAAGTTTTGAAGTAGATATTTTCTAATATATAATCCAATTACAGCTATTCCCTGCTTTTACACTCAGAAGGCATAACAAGTAATCATTTAATGGATAATGAAGCAGTATTTTCTACAATAATTAACAATCAAATGGGACCCTTGTAGGTATCAAATAAATATATATATATACAAACTATACACACAATTTAACTTGTTAGTGTGACATGAAGGATAGGGAGGCAGGAGCACAATCATCAGTTGGAAGAGAGCTTTTTGTATTCTGGCTTTTCAGAACTGATCATCACTTTGGAAGACCTCAGCCCCTTCTCAGAGCATACACCTCACAAATCATATTTGCACATACTTGCTGAATGTCACTCTTATTGAATGATAATATTTTCATCATCATCATGATCTTCAGACGAATAAAGGTCAACTATAGATAAATGAGAGAAATGCGTAATGACAACAGTTAGCATAGCATGTTATTAAATGAACAATGCCAAGAACTCCGAAGTGACAGCTAAAAAAGAGAAAAAGTTGTAGGGAACTGCTCAATTTTGTAGCAGAATTTGTAGAAGAGAAAAACAGCCACATTCTGACTCTTAAAACAACTAAAAAAATATGTGGAAACACAAACATTCCTCAGTTGCATAACTGAATTTTTGAAAGTTGAGTTTTGAAAGTCACTGCAGCGCCAGTTAAGTTTCCCAATCCACAAACTATTCTGTTATGTAGCAACAAGCTCCGACTTGCATGGAGAAGTTTTTTGTTAACCAGTTATGATACCATTTTTTCCCAGTCACTTAAAAAAATATATGTATACTATTGGTTTATACATGCAAGCAGACTCATTGATGTTGGCTCAGTAATTATGAAGTAGCATAAAGATCAAGAGAAGCAGCGAATTTGAAATCCAAAGCAGCATTCTTACAAAGCAACAACTAAAACTGGGAAATGTTTGTATTCACAAGGAAAATAATGTA